CAGTGCAAATGAAACAAAACAAACTGATCCATTCTATGAATTTTCAACAAATAAAAACCATCTTTAATACATCAAAATGTACTAATATTTTGAATATTAAAATTAAAGGTTAAATTTTTGGAAAATTGCCCACTTATACTACAAAATAATCATCCAGCGCATTTAGTACTTTCCTAATAACTTAAACTTCATTTTATGCAAAATAATCATTTATTATCTATTAATAACATCAACTTGTCACTAAATTACTATCATGCATTATTAGATAACATGAAATTCCTAAATAGCATCATTTATTTTATTTAATCCATTTATCTGTTGGTCTAATTTGAAATGAATGTAAAATACATTACAACGATAATATTGTAATTGTTAGGCATTTTCTATCATACTTCAATTAATGTAATAATTAGTTGAATTTATGACAATGAAATATTGAGGCACATAACTGAAATGAGAGAAACAAAAAAAAAAAAAAAAACAATTATTCAAGTTTGGAAAATTTTTGATTCACACAAATGACAGCAAAGTTATATCTTTCATTTCCTCATTATCCGCTTTCTCATTCAAAAGTTTCCGTATTATAAATTTATTAGCTTGAAAAAAGCTATACTTCATAGATCAAAATCTAAAATTTATCGATAATTGCCATAGAATTTCCTTCTCTCACTTTTCTATCATTTTCCCTACATGTTAATGTAAAATGAGAATGTTGTTAGACTATTTCTCAACTTATTGTCAATCTAAATTTAATTCGAATTTACTATTTCTAAGTATGAAATATTTGCATGCATAAACAATAAATTTCCTATCACTCCATTGTAGCATAAAAACACAATTTCATTATTTCGTATATTTTTGCCGTTAATCTTCAATAACTTTATTCTAATTAAAGTGGGAAATTAAACAATGTGGAAAAGTAATCGAAAAGAATTTAGAAAGAAATAAGAAAGAATCTAAAATTTGCTTTGCATGGAGAGAGGAAGACATAAATCATCTAATTCTTTCGGAAAATCCATGATAAATAAAGCATTAGTAATTTTCCGGAATTGGACGCCACAGCTTATCTGAACAAGAACATCATCATCGGCCAAACAGTGATCAGGAAAAGAAAAACTACACATCTATCTGAAATTAAACCAATCAAAAAAAAAAAAAAATATCAAAAGATAATTTCTGGAAAGTGTGCTCTTGAGATATTCTATTGTCAGGGTATTTCATTGATAAGATTATTTGTAGCGGGTAATCCGGTTGACCGATTGACCTAAATGGAAATCATTCAATTATCAGAATAAAACAAACGAATAACGAAGGAAAATAATGTAAAAATCTGTTTAAGCATATACAAATGTGTCGAATAATTTTGGGAAAAACAGGGCCAAGTATTTTGTTTTTTCCTCTGGGAATATTTCTAAGCGAATTTAATTTAGATAAAAGGTAAAGAAGATAAGAAGGCAAAGGTAAATAACACTTGACCAGGTATTTCGTGAAGTTATTCGATACATTGTATATATTTAAACAGATCTT